TCCGTTGAAACTTCATGACCGCCGAAGTCTTCAAAGTCTAAAGCCAAGCAAAGAAACTCTCAGAAGAACTTCAAGCATCACTCTCCGTACCTAAGGCAACCGACTTCCGAAGCTCCTACGTCAAGGCAACCAACCATTCACCACTAGGGCTCTCCCAAAAAGACGTCATCCAAACGACAGATCGGCAACCAATCAGAGGCTCCGGGGTTCCCTCAGGCAGAAAAGGAAACCCCTCTCAGCTTTCCAGCGCAAACGCAAGTAACAAACAAAATCTTCTATCTGCTGAAACTGGTGCTGAATCGATCTTAAGCAACTAAAGATAAGCCAAATCTCTGCTTTTGTGATTTTCTTGGTGCGATCTAAGAACGAGTAACTTACTAGATCTTTGGGACTTCCTCAAAACTCTGTTAAACTCTCATCTTCAGAACTGTATGTGTGTGTGTGTGTGCTTTTGATAGTTTTAGTTCCATGTAATCTATAGAGTAGTTCAAATAAATTAATGTTTCATTATAAGAATCATTGTCTTGCGTCGTGTATTTAAAGTTAAACTTTGCCCAGATCGTGCTACCTAGCTCGTAGCTTAATAATCATCACTAACAGTTATTATGACCGTGGCCAGGGCATAATATAAATATCCAAATTGTTTAAGATATACTGATGTTAACGTCTCATTGGACGAACGGTTGATAAAGTGTAAAATATCAAATTTGGAATCAGTTCTAATCAGTTTGACTTTGAATCTTCAGATTCGAATTCCCCTCTCAAAACCTAAGAGTTCATTTCCCGACACTGTCTTGAGGCTATAAACCACTTTAAGTGTCTTCTTTATGGGAAGTATGTTTAACGTGCAGTTTTGCACTTTGCGTAACTTGCGTTCATATTCTTATTTCATTCAGGGGAATCCTGGAGTGTGACGTATGAGGGCAACTCCATTACAGCAAAGCATCACACAAGCCATGATACAAAGTAAAGGAAACTAAGCAACCGAAAGCAATATATCTCTTCCTCGGATGTAATGCTAGTTCTGTACATCAGCGTTGGGTAAAAAAGCATTATAATCTCCTTTTCAGTAACGTTAGAGAAAGCTGCTTACATGTAGTCTACAAGTGGAAACGAGTAAAGATTATGTTGAATTAAACGTAAACAATATTTTTTTCCGCATATTTATACTGGTCCTGATAATCATAACTTCTACCATTTGCTCCATTTCTGCAAATCAGTTTTTGTGAATGAGTGATTTGATTCACTTGTTGCTTTGGTCTTCATTAACAGCCGCTTACGCCACCTGCTGGTGAGCGACTGACAGCAGCTGGAGATCATGCATCGGCGCTCTACTGCTATTCCTGCAGCTCCCGGATGTGCAATGCTGAATTTTCTGCTGAATTTGAACCACTGAATTTATGGAAGCGAATTTAGAAAGTGAAATAGAATGGACCGAAATTTGCCTGTCGAATATTATACATCGTATTTTTAAACAGATTGAATATTTGGGAAGTGAATTCTAGAAGGTGAATATGAATTATTGAATTTTTAATTATGAAAATGTGTGTGAAATATTTTGAATTGAAATATTCACAGCTTAAATAAACAACTATGTTAAATTTCAGGACCTAAAAATGCAAGCCCTGAAAATACAAGGCATTAAAATGCAAGCACTGTTAATTCAATGCATTATTTTTTCAGTTAGTGCAATTCAACATGCTTTTTTGTTTCTAAAACATTTGTCATTAATTTTCTTCCATAAAAATTCCCATAAACTTAAAATTGGAAATAAATTTGTAAAATCATATCTCCGGATCAGAATGTCAGAGAGAGTTGAGGGTGGACTCATTTTACACTTTCCAACCAGCCAATAAGTACATAACAACTTAGTAGCCGTGCCTTAGCAACAAGTTACACCACCCTAGCAACCATCCACTGGACTTCCACTCAAAAAAAGGTGAGAGAGATATCGCTGAACCAGAACATCATAGAGACAAGTGGGTGGACTCTTCTGATTTAGACTGACTCTTAATAATGCTAAATGTAGATGAAAAAAAAAAACAAACATCTTGTCACAAACCTGGTTTATTTGAACGGTCAGAGTCATATATGTCTGACATAAGAAAATAGTATTTGCTGCATTCTCATTTTCTGCAGTGTTTAAGTGAACGTATAGTGAATGTAATCTATTTTGCTGCTCACTGTGTTTCTGATACTGTTGTGCCCTTTTGATTCTGCCTATCAAGCAGTAAGTACTTAGTGACATAACCTGATAGCCATGCATTGGATCTGGATCAGAACTTACAGACAATGGGGTGCGCTCTTTTAACTTAGACTAGCAAATAGTCTTTAAAGTGTCCCTATTATGCTATGGCTCCTAATTTTGTTTTGGAGATCTCTTACAACAGGTTTACATGCATCCAAGGTCAAAAAACACTTTAAATTTTTTTTTTATTGTTTAAAGGGGTCATCGGATGCCCATTTTCCACAAGTTGATATGATTCTTTAGGGTCTTAATGAAAAGTCTGTAACATAGTATGGTTAAAATTTCTCAACGGTAGTGTAAAAAACACCTTTTTTACCCTGTCAAAAACAGCTCTTTTCAGAGCAAGCCGTTTTGTAGCATTTTCCTTTAAATGTTAATGAGCTCTGCTG